CTTCGTTTGCTGCTCGAAGGGTGCGGACTTCAGCTGACAATAAAGTCATTTCATGTGCCAAAATCTCTGTCCCTTTAGCTAATGCAGTAACAGTAGCAAAAATGGGGGTTGGCGAGCTTCCTTGGTGCCGTGCAATGCGATTTTTAACTAGAGTAGTCTGTGAGAGAGCATCTATTGGGTTGCGAGGCGTTTGAGAAACCCAAGGATCAGCGTCTATAGAGGGGGGTCCTGTAGGTGTAGGAGTCCGCAACTTGACGTCTAGCTTTGAAATGATTACTTGCGGATCAAAGGGCACTAAACCAGCTCCGCGAAATCCAGCTTTGGCGTTTTGAGTTGTTATTGACTGGTTATAAGCTGCGTGGAAAGCTATAAAAAACTCAACCTTTGTAATATGGTTTATATGAGCCTTAATAAAGGTCTCAATTTGACGCCCATACATGCGTTTAAGAACACTAAAGCACCCAACATCAAGTGGCTGAGTTAGGTGAGACGAGTGAGGAGGTAGACAGAGAGTTATGATGTTGTTTGCTTTGCAATATTCCTGAAACGCAGCTGATTCGTGACTTTCATGCCCGTCTAAAACCAACATCCGATATGGTCCTTTTGCACGACTGCAAGTATGTTTATCGAAATGATGAAGCCATTCTAGACCTGTCTCGTTGTTGGTCCATCCATTGCTTGTTGGTTTAATTACCCAATTGTGAGGAAGGCCGCCTTCAGTATACCAACTTGAAAGGTGACATTTCCCTTGAACTACTAAAAACGGAGGGATACTCCCGCCTTCAGCATTCACACAAACAATTGCTGTAGCCCATTCCCGATTGCCAGGCTGAACTGCCTTGCCTCTGCCACGTCGATCGGCGTGCGTAACAACTAAAGCTGAGCTAATAACGCCCATCATAAAGCCCGTCTCGTCAAAGTTGTAGAAATCGCAGTCTTGGATGCCGTACTTTGCTCTCATGTTCTGCACAAGTTGAAACCACGCTCCAATAAGCTCAGGATCTTCGCACAAGGCTCTTTGAAAGTCATAAACGCGATTAAAATGCGTCTTTAACTCGGGGCGGCGTTGTATAAATCGATATGCCCACCGCGTCCCAACGTGCTTTCCCCCACGCGATTCAAGGATATAATTTGCCATATCCTCCACACTAGCAGGCCGAGGTGCAAATCCTCTTGCATCCATATCCAATATATTTCGAATAATCACTTCCTCTTCTAGCTCAGTCAATTTATGACTATTGGCTTTGGTTTCGCGTCGAGAAGGTCGGCCGGCCATTCTATCAGTAAGCGTAGAATAAGGCACTTTATATAGTATTGATGCAGACCTGCGATTAAGCGATTTACATGTTTGAAGAGCCTCAATAGCTAGAATGATTCGCGCTTCTTGGGTTTGGATTTCCATTGGTAGTTGTGGAGGAAACGCGTGTTGAAGTTCGTAGGTAGCTAAGTAGGGAAAAGTTCACGAATCGGTGACATTCACGACTCGGTGTACAACCACGTTACTTAGATAGAGGAATATACATGATTCGTTCTCACAGCTTACTAGAGATGGCGAGAGTGATGCTGATAGATGTAATACTTTAACTTAACCATAAAACAGTATTAATCGTATGAGGGACTGTTCACATGATGCATAAATCTTACATGTGATAGCCGAGTACTCACTGGGTTTTTACAGAGTAACTGAGTATTGACCTCACTCACTGAGTCGAGTAAAAGGTTCAGCTACTCACCCAGCTGAGTAAAAGGTTCAGCTACTCACCCAGCTGAGTAACCCACTGAGCAAGTGAGCCGAGTATTAAGCGAGTAGTGCGCAGCCTAGCGACACATAAAATGAAGAAAAAGATGCCTTATATAGCAACTATATAACTATATAATTAAAACATAAAATCAATAGAACTACTATCACTATCGCTACTGCCACTATTGCTACTACTGTCACTTTGATCCTTACTATACCGTAAAATTATCACTTTTGATTTCAACCCTTCCCTCTTCCGCTCTGCTACCCGCTTCCTCTCAACCTTACGCTCTTCGATTTCGATTTTATGTGCTTGCGCTTGTAGCTGCTTTACTACTTGGTCTGATTCCCTTGCTGCTCTTGTGTCTGATTTCTGTGCCCTTGCCTTTGCTGCCTTCTGCTCTACTGCACGTAAAGTCATAATATCTAGCTCAGTCTTATAGAGCTCTGCCTGGTGTAGAACAACTGTAGTTCCACGTGCAAATGATTAAAACCCTTCTCTTGAAGGTGATGAGAAAGCTTCCTCTGCTCTCTTCTGCCAATGTTCAACCGCTTGCACACTTTGCATAGTTGTTTTCGGTGTTGAGATAATATTATATGAAGCAAATGGCTCATAATCAGGTGTTTGATCCCGAGTCTCTTGTATCTTGTCAATTACAAGTGGAGGATTATATGGATACAGTCCTGCATTTCTCCAACCAGATTGAATTGTACAGACAGTTAGAGATTGCCGTCGGATTTGCGGGAGGTCTGAAAGGAATGTACATAGCTTATACTCATAGTCGTAGCTACGTACTGCTTGATCAAGTGCCTTTTGATGAAAGTGTTTGCACTGCTTAAAAACTGCTACATCAAGAGGTTGTAATAGATGTGTTGTATGAGCAGGAAGGCAGCAAATAACAATGTTATGCTCTTCTGCTAATGTAAGAAAGCGCTCTGTTGTCATACTGACATTCGTTGCACTCAGTTTGCTATCAAACTTAAGAGCAAACTTAGAAATCTCCTCCTCAAACCTACAAGTCACTATACATATTTTGGCTTGTCACACCAACAACAAGAGCAATACTACTCAACGATTGCTACAACCCTCTATGATTCATTACACATCATTGCTCCTTAGTTACTGGGCCGATATGACCACATAGCATATCTCTACAACCCTCTATGATTCATTACATGACATCACTCCTTAGTTACTGGGCTAATACTACACATGACATATCTCTATCAACTAGAGGCCTAGGAACATGAACGATAGCTCCAAAAGCTTCTACAACTGTCTATGATTCATTACACGTCATCACTCCTTAGTTACCCACAAGATTGGTTAAGTTATGACATAATCTGTTGATAGGGGTACTCTGACCTTGGACCTCCTTTCACTTCCTATAGGCTAGGAACCTAGGAGATGGTTCTATGGGATTCTCTAACGTCGACTACAGTTACCAAGCCTGGTTAGTCATGGAAAGTCTTGGAAAATGAGAGAACTACACTCCTTTAGCATAAATAGGATTGCCCTTTCCTTAAGAAAGGGCAAGCAGACAATACAGTAAATCGACTATCACATACTTCCACGTCTTTTCCAAGCTTCCAAGCATTGATCTTGTTACTCCTTGTTTCTGAAAAGTCAGTGAGGTGCTAACCTCTGACTTATCCCCAAGTTCTCAGACTCAACATTTGTTACAACTTGTCTAAACCACTCCACTACATCATACACTTGATTGCTGCATTGTGGAATAGTCTAAGCTACAACCCTTTGGCTCTGTTACCTAAGACAGTGTGTTGTCTTAGTAAAATCATCCCTTTCCTTAGGTGGCTAGATTCTCAGATCTGGTGCACCCACCATTACATACGCCTTTCCATCCCAACTGCACCAGTATCTTGTGAGCTAGGGGAAGGACTCAGCGGCAGGAAGACTGACACCTCATTGACGGTCTTGTATGTCTGAAACCTTTCTGGAGGGTCTTCGACTTTAACTTCGTCTGCCGCAGCAGGGGCTGCAGGGGTGCTCTAGGTGGCACTGAGAGACTTGACAACGTCTATGAACTGTTAGGCGAAAGGCAACAATTCAGACCGATAACAGTGAGGGTTTGGAGACGTGGGGTGCATTTTCATAGCGGCGAGAATCTCACTAGCATCCTCATCGCTCATCGTCGGGGTACTGGGTGGGGTGGCTGGCCGTGAACTGCGCAGCGAAAGGCTGATTTGAATCATCTCTTGAACCATGGTCAATGTAGAGTGTTGGCAGGTGGGTTGTTATGTTGGGAGATATGCACAGAACTAAGAGCTTGAAGGTGAGTGATAATTTGAAGACTGCAGAGGTTGTGGTTGAACTCCTGGGGAATCGCACGCCCTTATATATTCCTCAATTCTTTGCCCACGTCAATTGAAGACCAAACCTCCCCGGTAAACCAACAACAGCCGGGGAGTTGACGGAAGCTGACCCTTCTAAGTTCAGGATCACAAGCAGCTCACAGTTGCAGCACCATGCATTGGCTGATTGGATAACAAGATGGCCCGAGGGGGTATCATGCAAACAACACGGGGAAAAGCATATATCTGCAAGACAGTGTTGGGGGTGATGCTGGCGAGGCCGATTCACCATGCACCAGGTGTGGGGAAAGTAGCCATTCATCTGAGACAGTGAGAGCGTTCGGGCCGTGGATATTGTTGGAAGAGTTCACCTTTTCAATTCTCATCCCTGCGGCGCACTGGCCCTGTATAACCAGGATGGCATCGCGACTAATTGCTGTTATTGATATACGAGGGTAAGATCGGTAACTTATCTTAGACTATACATATATGCGACATCTCACGATGCCGAAGTGAAAATAGATGCGATTGCTCTACTGAGATAAAAATGTATGATTGGGTGGGCTCTGGCAAGGTCCCCTAGTGATTGGATTTCGGATTCTTTGGGTACATGTTGCCATCCCTATTCAGGCAACAAAACCAAGCCACTCTCGTGATGAAAGTTCTGCAGACCTGCATAAACTAAGCCGGTGCCTAATTCACCAGCGTCGCATATAAGTCGGAGCTCCCCCGCCCCACCCCCCACCACCAACGCGCACTGATCCCCAATCACTTTCAGCATGTCAGTAGCTATTTTGCTCTCGCAGTTAAAGGGTCTTCTTGACAAGACCGAACATTTGAATGGGAAATTCTCTAACGTCTATCCAACAAATGATCAGTCACCAGATGAGGAAGAGTGCGCGAGTTGGGGAACGATATTATCGCCTATACAATTCTCAAGGACCCAATGCGGGATGCTCGGGAGAGGCTTCTCAGAGCTGCAACGTATGGGAGCCTGCGAGATGCTCGAGAGACCCTTTGTTGGTATATGTCAACCCAGACCCCAGACCCAGTAACTGGTGAATTCGAGCTTTACCACCTTCAAGAGTCTATCAGAGCAGCTATTGCCAATAATCAACCGCCCCTTCTTTCCTACCTGTTCTTCATGCGCATCGGGGAACCCTCATTTTTTGTTGAGGATGCTCTCAGGGTTAGATCAACTGCCGTTTTCCGGGTCCTTCTCTACTACGGATGGGACATTAACAAGCCGAGAGGGCGACATCTTGCACCGGCACTAGGGTGAGTCTTCTTCAGAGTTACGTAGTCGGATTACTGACTATATTAGATATGTAATCGATGATGGAGCACTGACCGAATGGTTTTTGGATAAAGGTGCAGACCCTAATTCTACGTGCGAGTGGGGTCGTACGCCTATGTCTAATGCTATGTGTGGAGTTTCGTTTGTCTCAATAGACATGCTCTTCACACGCGGCGCGGACATAATACAAGGTCAGCTTCTCCATAATGCAGTTTTGCGAGATCGGCCAGAGCACGAGGTTATCGAACTCGTGGAGCTGCTACTTGGAAAAGGTGCCACTATTAATGAAATTCAATACGAGAATCATCCTCAAACCTTCGCAGAACTTCAAGATTTTTCGCTAGGCACGCCACTACATTATGCAGCACAAGCGGGCAAAGAAATGGTTGTGTCTTATTTGCTCAATAAGGGGGCGGACCCTCTCATTCGGAATACGAAGGGTAGGACGGTAATTGAGGCGGCTGGACATGCGAGCCAGTCCGCGGTGGTAGAAATGCTATCTCACGTTTAGATCTTACTATATGATCACTATTACTTGGTGTTTCCTTTCGGTGCTTATCACTCAAAACAACTCCAAAGATGTACTTGAGAAACGGTTTTCTATTTGGTCTGACTATAACAAAACATCACTGCGTCGATGGGAATCTTAGAAGATCAACTTCTTTCATCACTTTCGTTTCCCTTTTCCTTCCCCTTTCCCCGCAGTCGACACCGACTCCATAGACCATCTCCAAAACTTAGTACCGGTTTTTTTCCCAGTGTAGGCCCAGCATGGTCTGATTTGTCCTTCGTGTTCAGCCGTCTCCTGAGTTCTTGTTACAAGAGAACTTATAATACGTCCTCCCTTGCGTCTCAACTTGAGTAATATCCTCATCGAAAATATACGGGGAATTTGCAGGGATAGTCGCCGTTGTCCCAACTGGATCAGGACTTGCCAATTGGGACGTAGATGGCCAAGTGCTGTATGAAATAGCCGCCTTTGGCGGATATGCAGAGGGTCTAGCGCTGACGTAGCCGAAAGTCAAATCGGCGAGGACAGCAAGTCCTGCAGCGGTAAGATTATTGCCCTTAGTATTTGGGGGCGTAGATCCGCCGAAGACGTTGACTTGGGGACATGAGTGGCCCTGTGGAATTCTTAGTTTGGGGCATATGAGGGGGTGCGAGGGGGGAAGGGCATACGAATTTTGATCCATCGTATGGTTGTAATATCCCTCGGGAGAGGAGCAAAACGAAGATTACCAATGGGTGGTTTGGCATAGGGAATTCTGAGATAAGTGGACACGTTCTTCGCGGACGACGCGGCATGTCTAGAGACGGGGCCGCCCTGGGTGTAGACTGTTTGGCCGATAGTCCACGAGTCCAGGATGGTATTGCAGCTGTCATGTCTCACCCAGCCAGGGTGATGGTTCACCCTGGACCCTAACGTAGGTTTGCCACGGCCACCTGCACCTAGGCTGCGCACTACTCGCCCAATACTCGGCTCACTCACTCAGTGGGTTACTCAGCTGGGTGAGTAGCTGAACCTTTCACTCGACTCGGTGAGTGAGGCCAATACTCAGTTACTCTGTAAAAACCCAGTGAGTACTCGGCTGTCACGTGTAAGATATATGCATTACGTGAACAGTCCCTCATACGATTAATACTGTTTTATGGTTACAGTTGTAAGTTAACTTAAAGTATTACATTTATCAGCATCACTCTACCATCTCTAATAAGCTGTGAGAACGAATCACGTATATTCCTCTATCTAAGTACCACGATTATCAGAAGATTATCAGAACACTATATTATATATGCTCAAGAACATCTTTCCACCTTGCTTGATGAGGCCGGCCAGACCTACTAATACCTAAAGTATTTATAGGGTCTTGACGAGTAGCTTGAAAGATATCAAGTAGATCTCTTCCAGTCTTCCGAGGGCGTTGGATAGGCGTTGGTGGCGAGGACGGCATATCCTTATCTTCATCGTCATGAATAGTTGGAAGTATAGGCTCCTCATTATTACCATCTTCTCTTATATCTTCATTATCTGGGATATCGTCATCTGGGATGTCGTATAAGGTCTCGTTAAGACGGTCAGCCCTATCTCTTTCTTCACCTTGTTGGTAGCGCATTTGTCGTTCTTCATGTGCAGCTTGTGATAAGTCTTGCTGTTGCTGTGGCCGCTGGGGATTAAACGGAGGATATTGTACCTTTGAATATGTCTCTCGGATATGTGTATTTGATCGTGGTTCTTCTTCATCGCTGATATATTGTAACTCGATAGAATTGCACATCCGTTGTCGTTGTGCCTCATACTCTTCTTCGACTTGCTCCTCAGTCATATCAACGACGTCCATCATATCTGCAAGCTTGTCACGATGACCTTGACGATTCTTGTATTGTCGAGAGTAATATATAAGCATAATACTCTTAATCGTCTCAGGATTAAGTTGACCACGTCGGTGGCCACATACGTCCCTTGCGGCACTAAAGACTCGCTCAACTCCAGACTCAGCAGCAGGAATACAAAGTATATCACGAGCCATTGCTGATAGACCAGGAAATTGCTCTTCCTTTTGTTGCCAAAATAGCAATATCTTTGTGTAGATATGTGCTATACAAGTTAGAATAAGATTATCAGAAGATTACCAGAAACTTACGAGCATCAAGATAGAGATCAGCCTCATTCACATATTCCTCTCGCTGGCCCCGAGTCCCATTTAATGTCTGACTTTGCTGCAATACTAAGGCTAATGGATCCATATCTGCATCTCGTAATCCTGATTGACTCGCAACTCGCACTGTAGAGTACTGCTCTTTATAAAGAGTCCTAAACTGTTGTTCAAACTCTGTCTCCCAATTTCGTATTGAAAAGTCAAGCTTGCAAACCTTTTTGTTAAAGTGTGAGAGCTTCACACTAGGATTTAAGATACTAGCAAATGCGAAGATAGATCCAGTATTTGTGTATAGCTTGTTATAATACTTCCTAATCTTCTTCTCTGCAGCATCGATTGCTAAAGTCATCTTTGCTGCCCATGGATATGTCTTATGCCGTAGCCGGTGCCGAGTTCCTTCAAGCGTTGATAAGAGTTTTTGATATACTCCAAGTGTATAGCAGACAGTAGGTCCGGCTGACGATCCAATGTTTGTTGTAAAGAAGTTGAATGGCCTTGTAAGATCAATGATGTATTCGATGTGCTTCCATTCTAGCTCGCTAAGTCTGAACATGTGAGCACCATGATCGCCTCGAGTATATTGATTGATTGTTGACTTGAGTTGCTGTGCTCGCAGAAGCATATGGCATGTCGAATCCCATCGAGTTGATACATCTTGAATAAGTCGAAGAAGCCTCTGAGATGATTGACCCCGGTTCATGTTTGCCTTTTGCAAAGTCATAAACCTGTTCCTTCGAGTTTGACTTGAATTAACAAAGATAGTGAGCTTCCGGAGCTATGAGATATTAGAAAAGACTACCAGAAGTTTACCAGAACTAACAAGAGAATATATACCTTTCCAAGTGTAAATCCAATACCCTTGTCCTTCTGCAACTTTGCAAGGCCCTCCATCTGATTCTCTTCTTCCCAGTTCATTAAGATCTCTTGATTTGTTGGCGTAATCCGGATTCGACCAAGGAGAGCACTAAGGGCAAGTTGAATAACGTGAGCTAGGCAGGGTATGTGTTGTACTTTTCCTCCAATGAAATGCTCGTTGTCTGCAATACTATCAAGCATTATTTCCACATCTCTCATCATTGAAGTGTTGTTTGACGCATTATCAGTCGTAATGGATATAATTCGTCCTTCTAAATGCTGCCTTGTGATAACTTTTTCAAGTATTCCACATAACTCAGCACCAGTATGCTCTGTATATATAGGTTCAAACCCAATCAAGACCTCTTGCATTTTACAATGACGGTCGATAAATGATGCAATAACACCCATAAATGAAAGTCGAGTAACACTTGACCAACAGTCGAGCGATAATGCAATCTTTGAACCAGGAACAACATCTTGTAGCATCTCTTCTTCGATTTGTGTGAGCTTTGTTGTTAAGAGGTTTCGAATAGTTGTTGCTGAGGGTAGTGGATAGTGAGGATTCTGTAAGATAGCAAGCCTTTTCCATTCAGGATCCTCGACTGAGCGGAACGAGCTATGAGTTGAGATAACTGTGTATAGAACTTGTTCGTAAAATGCCTCTTGTGTGAGAATATGATCCTATTATAGATATTAGCCTATATAATTCTGGTAATAATCTGGTAATCCTTACCTGTTGAGGTCGCATCTGATTGATTCGCATTTGATAGAGACTATCCTTACCCATCCGTGACTTCTTTTTGCAAATGTCTGATGCAAGATGTGTTGCCATAGACTTTGGGCCAGCAGACTTGATTGCAGGATGCGTAAGGGCCTTCGAACAATAGGTACAAATGACACATGGTTCTCCAGAAAGCCGGTCTGCTCCTTGGTGATAAATTCTCCAGTATTGAGAACTCCGGTTGGTTGAATCCCATGCAATCTTCGTAAGGAGTTTTGTAGTATGATCTGAGTGTTGTTCATACCATCGTGATAGCTTCCACCACTCAATGAATACATCGTGTGTATCCTTAGTCCATTTGATGAATTGGTTTAATTTGCCAGTATATTCGAGGCCCGCAGGGATTTGATTTAATGAAGGTAGTCGTTGAGAAGAGGGAAGAGAGTCTGAGAATATATTAGAAATAGGATTGTCAGAGTCAAACAACTCTGAATATTGCGATGACATTTGGCAAGTAGCAAATTGTTTGATTATCAGAAGATTACCAGAAGTCTGGCTACGATGAAATACTTAAATCTCTATAGCCCCTATTCGCGTCGCAAAATCAAATACTCCATTTCTCTCCTCTACTCTAACTCCAGAAACAACATATCCTGTGCAGCTGATACCTTAGCCCACTTTTCCTTATCAAATTTCTTAGAGTAGACAAGTAAGAACGCCTCTTTGAAGCTAGAACTATGAGTGGAGACTTGTAACCATCCGTTGTCGACAAGATTGTAAGACTTTGGGTACCACTGCGCAGGTCCTGGTAATTGGGCCCACTTTCCAAACTTCCAAGCTGTAAAGTTTGTCCAAACTGCCTGCTCGTACAAACAGAAATATTTATGTGGTGGGATAACGTTGTGAAAAGTGCTATAATAAACAATTAGTATCTCTAGAAGATTGCTAGAATGATCAGAGACGTACCCTTCTTCTACATCAATCCATGGCATATATTCAAAGAGATGCTCAGGCTTCTTTCTCAGCTTTCCAGCCTTTCTCGTATATGAGCGGATACAGCTATCCCAGAAATGTTGCCACTTGCGGAAATTGGACTCTTCATGGGCCTATCAACCGTTAGTATTACCAGAAGATTACCAGAAGATTACCAGACTATGAGGTACCAACATCAATGCGTGCTTGAGTTAAGAGAGCCTGGATGCTAGCGATCTCTTCATCAGAAAGCTCATCTGGTAGAACAGCCTCGTCATTTAAAATATCGTCGCGCCGTAACATAAGCTCCAACTCTAAATCGTCTTCAACCTCAGTATCCTCCCATTCGCTGTTATGATCGTCATCGATTGGGATACTGGTGATACCCTCAAATGCAGCAAGCTCAGACAGAAGTTGTGGCGGAGTAGATGGTGGGGCTTGTGGAGAAGAAGAAGGGGCGCTAGTATTCTTGACTTTCTGATTCGCAATGCAAGATGCATGGGTGCCCTTTTCAGTCCTGTTTATAGTTAGATTAAGGCTACCAGAGATTACCAGAAGGAACTTACCGAACACGAATACGCTCAACCTTCAATTCATTCTGTAGACGTGTCTTGTCTTCAGCAGAGGCAGCGATATACTTTGCAGACTTGTATAACTTCTTTAAGTAGTAGCTCAGATCGCCATGGTCAGCCTTGAGTGCTAAATGAACAGCCTTCTCATCTTCAGTAAGGTTGGAGACGCGGTTGCGAGCTTTGATAGTATTCAAATTAGTGGAGAGTTCTTCAGGTGCCTTGCGTTTCGCCATGCTAAACACGTGATTAGCAGAAGATCATCAGAAGTTCTGACTGTAGAATCAAGATAATAAACTTACTTGAGGTCCTAGTGAAGAGGTAAAGCGCAAAAGAGAAGAAGAATGTGTAGATCGGAACGTAACCAAGGAAGGTGGTTGGTTGTAAGGTTGTTGTTTTTTTAAAGTTGCAAACAATTATATTCGTCAAGGAATATTCACCTGCAAATAATTACTGTTCTAAACAACACTACAACGCGTACCTTCAAATAAAACACATACCTTTCAACCTCTACCTCTTTCTTTACTCTTTCTACAACATCCTTGCTACAAACTCACTGTAAGTACATATATCTTTTGATCTACTTCTTTGTCTTGTGTATACTTCACTAACTCATCTTAATGTTAGCAAATGGCTCGTATTAAGCAAACTGCTAGGAGATCAACTGGCGGCACAGCACCAAGGATGCCACTTGGATTACAGGCTGGCTCTAGGCTTGGTGGAAAGGGAAAGGGAAAGGAAAAGGCTGTGCGCACAGCAAGAAAAGCTCCAGTTCGCTCATCTCAAGCTTGCAACAATCATGCTCAGAAGGCCATGCGCCGTGCAAAGTCTGGTAAGAGGATTACCAGAGGATTACCAGAACTCTCTAATAAACATATAGGCACCAAGGCTCTCCGCGATATCAGAAGACAGCAACTTGATACTCGCCTGATTATTCCAAAGCTCTCATTCCAGCGTCTTGTTAGGGAAATCGCACAAGACTTCAAGTCCAATCTTCGCTTCCAGCAATCTGCTATCCTAGCTCTCCAGGAAGCTGCCGAATGCTTCCTCATTCGAGAATTTGAGAGTATGATACTTGAACATAGTGACAGGGACATACTAACAGTTATAGTGACAAATCTCCTTGCTATTCATGCGAAGAGAGTGACAATTCAGGCAAAGGATATGGTATTGGTTCGGCGTTTGCGGGATATGATGTTTAATCATGGAGCTGTAGGCTTAATCGATGGAAATGTCTCTCACCCAGGAATGAAGGTTAGATAAGTTCTGGCAACCTTCTGGTAACCTGGTACCTAAAGGCAAAGGTTATAGTGTGGAATAGGATATCAACGACATGGGAATGGAGTTATTGAGTTATGGCGTTTTACGATATCGATATCAATGTGAAGTCACGATCACACCCCCTTTTCAATGACTAATCAAACACGTGATATAACTGGGTTGCCAAGACCTATACGAGTAATCCTCATTCAACAATACTCGGGATATGAGTGAGTAACTCAGCTGGGTGAGTAGAAATTCTACTACTCGACTCATGAGTACCCAGTGCGCAGCCTACCTGCACCCCACCAAATTGGAGTAAGTTACCGCCGGGTAGGATATGGTTCGTGGTATGTAGGACTGGGTGGTGAGAAGCGAGGTATATCTCCACGGAAGGCTTCAATTCATGAGGAAAGAGCGATTTACTGTGTGAGGGTATTATTCTGGACCGTAAATCCCTCTTCCCTCTCTCACGGCCGCACAACTCTCGCAGCTATTACCACCTTAAATCTAGAGTAGCCTCCAACCACACTATCAATCTCACCCTCATGTGTATACCCATCGTATACCACATGCCCTCCCCTTCCCGCTCTATCCGTCCTGTTCCCGGCGTGTATTCACTCTCAATTCACTCACCTCTCATCTCCCTCGCTGACAACACCCGGCGGACTCCCAGGCTTTCTCTCTCACGTCGGCACGGCTACAGTACTTTCCGCCATCTACAACCACAGCATCGCGCAGTGGAGACGATGGGGAGGATCATGATGCATCCCTACGAGTCGATGGATACTTTGGGGCGTACTATTCCTGCGGTAGTGTAGTGAAGTACCCACTCCAGCCTCCCTCGTACTCTCGTACACTACGGGATTAGGGGTTCTATCCGCATACGCGGCAACGGCCATCTCCAGCCGCCGAGGAGAGAGGATCTGCAGCCGAGTTATGCGCAGAACCTGGTGGGAGAGAGCGAGCAGGGGACGCATGAGAGCGAGAGAGAGAGAGAGAGAGAGATGGAGATGGAGGGGAAGGGGTTGAAGTAGAGGGAAGAGGAGGGAGACGGACGAATGGAGGCTAACTGAAATAGTCAACACCCTCGAAAACTGCATTGGAACGTGTGGTGCCGTGCCTTGCTGCATCATCTGCCCCAGCCCTTATAAGCCTGTCTCGCAGGGTAACGTGGGATTGGTCACGAAGTTCGGCCGCTTCTACCGCGCTGTTGACCCTGGACTTGTCAAGATCAACCCACTGAGTGAGACAAAATAAATAAATAAAAAGACCAAAAAACATACAACAGTGGGTATTCGCTGGTGGTCACCCACCCAACTACTAATCCACCGATCTCAAGTTTATGTATGGCAGAGCGGACGGGATGCCCAGTTCTCTCGAGTCTATGGTCGTATGTGATGGTTCTTTGCGTATCCGTCTTTAAGGACCCATGAGCCGCCTCTGCTTTTATTCTTCTTGCGACTTTAGACGATATACAATTAGACGACATATTCAAACTGGCGTCAATTGCCTCAATATTCACAACGTCCTTGCCCTGAGTTTAGTGTCCCTGAGACTGCAGAAGACGAAATGAAAGGCCTACGTACAATTGCTAGCGAATATAACGATGAGGATATATACAATATGGATTGAGGCTGCAGTCTATTGGAGGAATGAGATGCGTTACGAGAGAACCTCGTACGTATCGGGGTTTACAGCGAGGCACGTGATATATAAAGTTGCCTTTGGGACCTTGACCACGTGGTGTAAAATGGGATGGGATGGGATGGGATGGGATGGCGTTCGTCGAGGTTCGTCGAGGGGCGGCGGGGAAATGATGGGCCGTTCGTGAGTGTGACTCAGGTGACTACTCAACAAAGGAGGTAGACGCAGACTCGTAAGGCCCAGACCCGACCGCCCGCTTACGCACGGGACACTCGGGCTCCCCTCCGCATTCCCAGTAAAAAATGCCTCTCCCCAGCGTCCGGCCTATTTTTAAAAAGCAACCCGCTGACCTCGCTTATTACCCCCATTTTACCTAATGGTGACCAGGACGGCGGTGTCGAGGGGCGACAGTGAGAGGAGGACCAGCGTTTTGTGAGTGAGCATGACGAAATCTCTGCGGACGTGGTGATGGGGTGGATGGCGTTGTGGGTCTTGGCGGCAGTCACGGGGAGTCAACAGGCGCCGTACCTGCTGCAATACTGTCTTGGTATATAGTCTCACTAGCCCCCTCGACTCTTTCCTGCCTGCATCATTACATTCTCTCTGCCATTTATATTACAAACGATCTTCTTCAGTCCATCGGATTGTGTTGATCGCCGATTCACTTCAGATATATCTCCATCGACCCATACAACCGCCATCATGGCGTCAACAACAGCAACAGCGAGCACCTCCACGCCTCCCCTCGCCGAATCCCTCCTCACACGCCCCATCAACACCCAGCCCCAATCCCCCCTCTACGCCCTCCCCCAGGAGATCCGCGACCAAATCTTCGCCTACGCACTCACACCCTACACCCCCAAGGCACCTCCACCACCCCCAAAGCCCTCGGCGCTCTACCCCTCAACAAGCGCCCCGCGCCCGCGCAAGCCAAACCCATGGAACCCCATCCGCGCACCCTACCACATCAACACCTCATACTCCCGCCCCGGCCAGCGCGCCAAGGTCCACCACCCCACCGCGCTTCTGCTGGTCAGCCGCCTCACACACCTCGAGACGGCGCACATGCCTGTCCCGCTCGCGACACATACTTTCTACGCGCCGCCCTCGAGCGGACCGCCGGATCTGTTGGCGTCGCCGGAGTACTTCGCTCGCATGAGCCCGGCGCAACAAGCTACCGTCCGTCGTGTCCGCGTCTTCGCTGATGTGGCGTGGTTGCTCAAGGGCGAGTTGGAGGGAATGTGCACACACCCCACTATGCGCGGCGTGACGGACTTCTCGCTCGTGGTCCGCTGGTGCGATTGGCGCGGCTGGGCCTCGAATGAGGCGCTCAGCCTTGCGAGTCGGCCTGTGCCGGCGGTGCAGGTTGAGGAGGAGGAGGAGCGTTTACAAGACCCGGCGGAGCAGGAGATGGAGTTCGCTGCCCCCCCAACACCAATGGGCGGTGTCGAGATGGCGGATCCTATGGAGGCCCTCACACAGGATGGGTGCGCGGATGTGCAGGAGGCGCTTGAGGCTGCGATTGCGCAGCTTTCGAATTTGAAGTCCGTATCACTCTCGCTTGAGGCCCCATACGTCAAGTCCGACGAGCTGGAGGCGCAACTCTCGGCTGCGCGCGAGTGGAACTTCCACCTTGGCGGCAAGGCCGCGAGAGAGGAAGAGAAGACCGTCAGGGGTGTTGTTTCCGGCGAGGCCGAATGGGAGGCACCGATGTGCGCATGGAGCGATTTCTGCGCGCATTGCGGTGGTGGAATTGGAGATGATAAGGCATGCGAGGAGCGCAAGAGGCGCAGGTGCCGTGGTCTCGGACCGAGAGTCCTTGGAGGTGTCGTGAGGTGGTGCTGATCGGATCAGACCATTTCCCACAAATCTGGCTTCGGCCCTTTCTACCTTTATTTTTTGGAACTGCGGATTTGCGAGGTGTTTTTCTGGAAGCGAAAAAAAAATTATGGGCTTTTCTAATTGGGAAGGAACGGAATTCGGGGTTTGTTTTTCATTCAGTGAATGGACTAAGGGAACGAAAACAAAAAGTGCAGCGAATAAGGGGGGGTTGATCATAGTGCATGGGGCCCCTGGCGACCTGAGAGTAATTAGTTAATACACACATCACACATGCTTGTATAGCGCCCGGAAATGGGATGAAGGGTAGGGATATAGCATAAGCATACCATAGCACCCACTTCCAATGGAAGCGTCTTGGGGACGGATAATAAGATACCTTTAATTACTCAGTGTGCGGCACAGATACCTGATTACCTGTGGTGTTCAGGTAATTACCTGGGTAATTACCTACCTGGGCTCATTCTCAAAATACCTGAGTATCCCGGTATTTTCAGATACTTACCCAGATACATGCCAAGTATTGCCAAGTGTAGCCAAGCCGCACAAATGCTAACGTTGAAATACTCGTCTTCATGCTTGATATGGTGATAATTGCCGTGAAAATGAGTGACTCTCCGTTGTCAGACGTGCCGACGGACCTTGATGGCTATAATCCTCACGATGAGCCAGCCCTACCAGGGCTTTTTACCCCTTTTCAGCAATCAAATCCAATTCCTGTCCGTCTACACCCGCCTAGCCAAATGCTACTGCCAACGCAGTCGCTGCTGTTCACGAAGGAACTATATTCAAGAATACTACTTGAGAGCAACCCGCCAACTATCAAAGTATGCTGTATGCAGCCTAATTGCGGATACTCGCCCGCAGCTCAAACCCATGCTCAAGCTGCTGCTTCAACTGGCAATCTTTGGAAACACTATAGTCTTAAGCATAAAGGAATCTATGATGCTCTTAAACACAAGAATACAGCGCCTTCAAGTCAATCTAGCAGCACATCATCATTTTTTGAGCCTCGGAGACCAGCGACCCATGAATCAAGACCAACAAACAATCCAGCCAAATATAGAGAGTTAGTGCTATCGTTTATAGTATCTAATAACCTGTCTTTACGCATTATCGAAAGCTATTCATATCGTCAATTAGTATGGTTCTTAAGTCCATCTGTGTTATCACTTTCGTCAAGAACATTGCACCGAGAACTACAACGCCAATTCTCATATCACCGAGGCATACTACAGCTTGAACTCCATTCTCATATTATACATGGAGGCCGGATATCCATAACGACAGATGCATGGTCTGCACGGAACTATACAGACTATGCTGCTGTTACCGCTCATTGGATTAATGATAAATGGCAGCAGAAATCAAAATTGCTTGATGTGATACATCTTCAAGAGCCTATTCATAGCGGTGAATACTTAGCTCAGCAATTAGCAGCTGTAACAGATAGTATAGCTATTACAGGCGCTATCTTTACATGCACCCGAGACAACGCATCATCAAATACTGTGATGCTCTCAGAATATGAGAAATTGGCTAGCAACGCCCAAACATCAACTCAACAACCTTGGACATTTACTGTCAAAGAAGGCGATGTCCGGTGTATTGCACATATCATAAATCTCGCAGTTCAAGCCGCTCTTACGAGTTTAAAAGCAGAACCAGATGTAGAGACAGAGACATACCGGTGTGAGCAAGGTGCAGCTCGGATTCCATTTAGTAGAGATAGTCATGTGGAAGTCATGAATGCTCTTGCAAAGCTACGAAGACATATCTATGTCTTTCGTAATCGACGAGCATGGAAGGATGCTTTACAACGACAAGTCAAAGCTATAGGTTTAAAACCACAGCAACTATCACTTGATATGCCAGTACGATGGAATTCAACACATCGTATGCTTGATACAGCATTAAAACTCCAAATACCAATCACAGCAGTATGCATAACACAACAGCTTGATATTAGTATGAAAGATATTGCATTAACTACAGGAGATTGGGCTGTTATTAAAGATCTTGAACGACTGTTCTTAATATTTCTCAAACCATCAAGACGGCTACAAAGTGATACATATCCGTCACTTAACTTTGCTATTCCACTTTATCTTCAAATGATAAATAAAGTTAAGAAGATGCAACAAGAAGTTGGCGAGCACTCAGCAATTGGTATTGCATGCACAGTAGCTTATCAAAAGCTTCACGCGTATTATACTCTTGCAACAAATCAGCAATGTAAGCACTCAGCTGTAGCTACAATTTGCGATCCACGGATGAACCATACAGTGTTTAAAAAGATATATCCAGATAGTACAGATCATGTACGAATCACACGGGCAAGAGCACAGTTTGAAGATGTTTGTAGAACATATAAGACACGGCAATATCATCTTGATACAGAGCGTATTGAACGTGAAACAGCTCTTGCAGATGCATTAGGAAATGCAAGTACTAGAGTGCAAGAACCAGATTCTGATGAAGATTTATTTGCATCAGAGGGTATATCATTTGAAGAACCAGAATGGAAACGATGGATGCTTGAACCACGGCCTGGTGAGCATACTGATATTCTCAAATATTGGTCTGCAAAGCAATATCAATATCCAATAATTGCTCAAGTTGCTCGAGACCATCTTGCAATTCCTGCGACATCAGCACCATCAGAACGGGTATTTAGCAATGGTAGCGATATCATTACTAAGAAAAGGAATAGATTGTCGCCATCGACGATTAGATATCTGCTTTGCTTACGGAATTGGGGTTATTTACCAGATGCCGACAGCGACGGTGATGATGCAGATGATGAGGCAGAAGAATAGGAATAGGGGCTGTCTATTTTATTATTATATTTGTCACGAGTTTCACTTTTCTAGTTACATATTCTAGTTACATATCATTATCTATTTCAAATATCAAAAGCGTCATTTTTGTATACGGAATTGAGGCTCAACTACCTGCTAAAGTATCTGTAAATACCTACCTTACCTGAGCAAAGTCGCTCAGATACTTACCTTACCTGGCGAGGACCCAGATACTACCTGGGTAGTATCTGCCGAACACTGTAATTACTTCACACAACTATCATTTCTCAGCCTCATCCTTTGTGATTCATCGTGCAGCATACTACCTAGCCATAGTGACCTATTACAATCATCCGTCATACACCCGTCATTGCACTGGCAGCAATTCCATTCCATGATGCTACTGGGCAAGACTACATCCACGTGAACGTGCCCTTACACCCCTCTAGCATTCCTTCCATGCAAGCAGCCGCCTCCCTCGCGCCCCTCTATCCCGACCCCGAAGGCTATACCCAGGATGTCTCATACCCCCCGGACCCCACCTCACCTCCTATTCTCCCAAGTTTCCCTTTGGCGCATGGGGTAGGGGATTGCGGGGAAGAGATTCGGGTAGTTCGTGGAATTTAATATGGTGGGTGCGGCGATATTGGAGATGTGATAGATGGGATGGAAGTGATAGAAGCCTAGTCTAAAGTGCCGGGCGGGGGCAGGGATGCCGCGCGCCGGTGGGTATTATTTCTCATTGACCAACACGTGCCCACCCTCCACCCCGCTCGGCCTTAGCGCACCCGCACCCACCATCCCCAGATTGTCGGGGCTCGGGGTGATGGGGACCGAGTGGGATTGGGGGATGTGCAACTACTTCTTGGGGTGGATGGGCTGTTTGTTTGTTGCATCTGCATCTACGACGGCTGTTACGACTGTAACTACGACTATACCGAGGGAAAGGCATGCGAAGAGAAAATAGGCACTGGTATTGATTAATCAACGTCATTATATTGACGGCTTGCTGGTGCTGCGGTGCTGATTGATGTGAGAGCTGAGTTGAGCTGAAAGAAGAGTTACACACACCTTGGTAGTCAACTCTCGGCTTTGAAAGGCCTACAAACAATACACCACAGCATACACGCGCAAAGCGACTAATCGCCACGATGGGTGCCAAACAGAGACTACTCAAGGGCATCTTCAGTCGCAAAATCGCCATCGAAGACAACACCATCACCTCCGCCGCAAACCTCACCCTCCGCCAATCCATCATCCCCAATCTCCTTGGTACCCCCCCCCCCCCCTTTCGCCCCCCCCTCCCAACTAACACCCCTCAAGTCACAATCCTCTTCTTCCTCTGGGGCTTCGCCTACGGCCTCCTCGACGTGCTCAACAACCACTTCCAGCAACAGCTCAACATCACCGCCTCCAAAGCCTCCGGCCTGGCCGCCGCCTACTTCGGCGCCTACTTCCTCTGCCCCCTCACCATCTCGGGCTGGATCTTACGCCGCTACGGATTCCGCATAACCTTCATGTCCGGCCTCTCCGTGCTGGCCATCGGGTGTCTGCTCTTCTGGCCCTCTGGGGTAAAACGGTCATTCGGCGGATTTTGCGGTAGTATGTTCGTCGTCGGCGCCGGGCTCTCGACCTTGGAGACGGCAGCGGATCCGTTCCTGGCGATCTGTGGACCGCCGAGGTATTCAGAGGTTCGGCTGAATTTGGCGCAGGCGGTGCAGGGGGTGGGGAGCTTCGTGGCGCCGCTGTTGGCCGCGAGGGTGTTCTTTCGGCATGCGGAGTCGGAGGCGGGGTTGACGAATGTGCAGTGGACTTATTTGGCTGTTGCGTGTTTTGTGGCGCTGTTGATTGTGTTGTTTGCGCTTGTGCCGATGCCGGAGATTACTGATGCTGAGTGAGTCCCCGACATGTTTGAGAGTAAGGGGATGGATAGTGCTAATGGAGTGGTAGTATGGCGGAGCAGGAGACTGAGATTGTGGGGGAAGATGTCGGCCCGCTAAGGAAGCAGTATAATCTCTTCCTCGGCGTATGGAGTCAGTTCTGGTATGTGGGTGCGCAGGTCGCCATTGCTGGTTACTTTATCAACTACTGCATAGAGGCAGGCAAGACGTCCACACAGGGATGTAAGTCTCCAAGCCCTTGAACCCGTATTACCAAACCCAACTAACACCACCTAGCCGACCTCCTCGCCATTGCCCAAGGCCTCTACGCCGCAAATAGATTTATTGCCGCGGGTCTCATGACTATCTCTTTCTTTAGGCCGCGCTTCATGTTAGCCGCCTACCTGGGCATGTGCGCTGTCTTCTCGATCGCCGCCATGAACACCCAGGGCGATGCAGGTATTGCGCTTTTCATCATGATCTTCGTATTCGAGTCGTGCTGCTTCGCTACTATCTTTACGCTGGCGCTTAGAGGGATCGGTAGGCATACGAAGAGGGGGGCGAGTTTCTTGGTTTCGGCGATTTCGGGTGGTGGTAAGTTTATCTTACACTTTTTGTCCCCTGTCATCCTAAAAATTGACAAGAAAGCTAACCCAACCCCCAGCCGTCGTACCCCCGATGATGGGAGCGGTAGTAACAGCCCACAACGCTCACTTCGCCATGATCATCCCCTTCATGGGTTATGTCCTTGCCTATGCCTTCCCGATATACGTCAATTTCTTCAATAAGGACGCCATGGACAGCCATCGTGAGACAGACCTCAATGTCATTCCCCGTGAGGGTGCGGGTGGTGAGAAGGAGGCGGGGGTTGTGGAGGAGAGGGAGAATAATGCTGCGCCTCCTGCTTCTGCGGGTAAGGAATAATGTACTTTTGTGAGTTGGGTGGAACTGGGGCGGTGGGAAGTGGGTTATAGTAACTATTAGTTATCGAATACGGGAATGCCATTCTATTCCGAGCATGTCTCCTTATTGTCTGTCTGTCCCTTCTTGCTTCTCTGCTTTCTGTGGAAGAGATATTTGATTTGACAGCGATCACAATTGTAGTTCAGTCAACGAGGGATCGCGGAGGATGTTCCATCATGCAGCTCTAAGTGACAGTAATGTACATGTATAACGAGGCGGCAACCCAAGCGAATCGGCCACTTCCAGCGACCACCTATGTATTATATAAATCAATTCAACTAAGTTAACGTTCGTGTATAACGTGGTTCATCCTACCAAATGAAACACTTTCCGACTGCATCGCAACCTCAAACCCAATTACTATACCCTAATACATTAAAATTAACTATTGAACAATATCCGTAGGATCCGTAGAGTAGCGTAGCCGTAGAATAGGGGTAGGATCCGTAGAGTAGCGTAGCCGTAGAATAGGGGTAGGATCCGTAGCAGTAGGTAGAGAATATAAACCGTAAATGCAGTCACGAACCAGTAGGGCCCGAAGCGATAATTTTGTAATGCATGTTTTTATAATTGAAGCTATTCTAAGTACTATATATACTGTTACGGGTGTGCCTATTCGTGGTTCGGATCCTAAAACCCTCCTGGTTTCGGTTCGTTCCCTGGAGCTTCAGAATCGAAGCTTTAGAATCGGAAGATCCAGGATCCGGAGGATCACGAAGCTGGCTGACACAGCTTCGGTATCAGGGCCCTGATCCCTGCTTCCGGGCCGAGGATTCAACATTAACTATATTCAATTAAACTCTCTTCCCCTAATATCTCTTCAACCTCTTGACAGGTTCGTACATTATGCCTACTCTTGCAGGACCTCCCACAGTGCCCCGAAGTTAACGGACTAGCCTCTGCAGCACCCTCCTCATTTGACCTTTTCTGTCGTTTAAGCCCTTTATCCTCTTTTTTAGCAATTAGTTTTTGAGTATCTTCTATAGTAAGTAACAGATAGACATGTACGCTTAGCTTTCCGACGCTTTAAAAGTGCTGTGTTGGCCTTTCAAAGGGTACGGACCTCCTCTTGTATAAGGGTCATTTGGTGCGCAAGATGGTCTGTACCCTTCATTAGCTGCTTTACAGCGGAAAAAATCATTGTTAGGGAGCTCCGTTGATGAATTCCAATCTAGTTTGTACAAACTTAGACTGCAAAATTGCATCAGCTAGGTTTTGTGGCATTTGAGGGACCTAAGGGTCAGCCTCTAGTAGGGGGGATCTAGTTGGTGTTGGCGTCCGTAACTTAATATCAAGCTTTGAAAGGACTGCTTCTAGGTTGTACGGGACTAGGCGAGCACCTCGAAAGCCAGCTAGGATATTTTCAGCTGTCATTGTATGGTCGTGGGCAGCCTTGAATGCAATAAAAACTCAATCTTAGTAATATGGGTAATAGAGGCCTTAATGAAGACCTCAAGTTCTTGACTATACATTCGCTTTAGTACACTAAAACACCTAACATCAAGAGGCTGGGTAAGATGTGAGGAGTGCGTAGGGAGATAGAGCGTAATAATGTTGTTCTCCTTACTGTACATATCAAACTAGGCAGATAGGTGACAATCATCCGCTAGACCCCTTGTGTTCGTAGACCTATATCATTGTTGGTCTAGCCATTTTATGAGGTCTTGATGGCCTAAGTAGGTGGAAGGCCGCATTCTGTTACTAAGGCGCAAGGTGATGCTTGCCTTGTACAATTAAGTATGCAAGCACCACAAGGCCGTCTACACTTACACATTCAATCGCTGTTGCCCATTCTAATTACCAGACTAAAGCTGCTTTACTCAGCCTTTTCAATCTAAGCATGTAACAACCATATTCCTACAGATAACACCCATCATAAAGCCTGTCTCATCAAAGTTGTAGAAGTCAGCATCCTAGATGCTGTACTTCACCTACATGTTCTTTACTCAAACCACTTTGTTATATAGTTAGGATCTTTGCAGAGGGCTCGCTAGAGGTCATATGCATGAGAGAGATGCATCTTATGCTTTGGTTCATTGTGTACAAAGTAGTAGGGCTAGTTTTTTCCAACTAGGGGTTCATGACATGTCGCATCGAGGGCTATATCTTGTACATCCTCAATTTGAGGTGAAAATCCTTGCGAATCTAGGTCAAGTATGTATCGTATTATGTTCGCAATGGCATAATGAGCACCATGGCATAATGAGCACCAAAACCTGAGTCCTCTGACTTCAAATCAATTTTCAACTATAATACAACTAAGCATACCAAATTCCAAGTCAGACAAATCATCTATAAGTAGGTCCTCCTCAACTTCCTTAATAATACTGTCTTGTTCAACCCTTTGTGCCCAACCTTTGCCCTTATTGTTACAGGTCATCTGTACAACTGCCGACTGGATTTCTTAAGTACTCATTACAATAACTCCTTTTAACACTACTCTCTTGCCACCTTATTAGCTCTACATGTAGATAGAACACTTTCGGTATCTTGTAGCTCCTTAAGTAATAATGTATTTTGCGTTCTTAAAGTTTCAGCAGTGCATGTAAGTCATGAGATATATTTGTGTGTTAGAGAGTCAAGCACATTTTGAGCTTACAACATCAAATTAAGAGCTGCATTTGAGCTACGCAACTCTGTACCACTTGGTGGAGAGCTAAAAGGAGCAATGAGCGATGGTTTGGTGTTTGTAGAGATGGTGTAGTAGTGTTTGTTGAGGTTATAGAAGAGCAGGTGTGTAAAGTTGGTAAGTGTTTATATGCATTTTGAGGATTGAATGGATAAATACCCTCTCCTAACCATGCGCTTTAAATGTTGTATTGTGATATTGCTCGTAACCTTGCTTTGTAGTATATTTCTATCCATTCTACCTTTTGTATACGCCTTACTCCAACTCGTGAAAGTTGGTCTGTCTCACTTGCAAGTGCAGTCTTTAATGGCCCAAACACTGCAACATCAAGAGGTTGAAGGATATGTGAACAATGAGGTGGAAGTATAAGAAGATCGATGTTATGTTGCATGTAATGAGCAATTAAGTTTGCAGAAATATGACTGTCATGGCCATCTGCAATCAAAAGCCGTGGTTTGCCATCTGTAATTTCATGGGTTTTAGGCTCAAAAACTTGTTGTAACCACTGTAATCCATGAATGTTTGACGTCCAACCCTTCGTACTTGCTAAGAATCGCCAGTCATAAACGTGTGTATTTATAGACCAAGTGCTGTTGATAGTTGTAGCTTTGAAAATCACAAGTGGTGGCAAGACACGTTTATCTACAGATATGCACTCAATGACCGACACCTACTCTTGATGGCCAGAAACAACTTTCCAATGCATACGCATAGTAGCATCAACTACTACATGGTTCGTTTGGCTTGTACCAATCCCAAAACCCGATTCATCCATGTTATAGATGTTACATAACATGTAGTTCTGTTCTTGCAACTTTGCTTCTACTGCAAACCAATGTTCAAGTGCTTCGAACGTTGCTTCTTGATGTCTTGCAGACTTGATTTGTCGAGTAGTAATTGTAGCAAGCTCTATATGACGTTGAATAAAGCATTGGATCCATTCTTTGCCAATTGGTAGGTATCGGACAATTTGAGATGACGTGTCATTAACGTGTTACACTCTTTAAATCCTGATTTCTTCTGCTAATTCCTTTATTAGCTGGTGTCTAATAGGGCGACCTATCGATGAGAATTAGCAAAATCCACTTAACCAAGATACTCTTCAACTATAGATAAAAGTTGTTGGTTTTGTCATGCTTGCACTCAAGAGTGGCCTCCTAACATGCGACACATCAAAGTCATCCGATTAACTTGAAAGTGTTCTGCAGTAGCATTTAAGCTTGTAAACTGTCAATTCTAGTAAGCTATTATAGCTTTAGGTATACGAGCTTCATTCTATTAAACCTAGATGCTCTTATGTCTCACCATTGTTGTAGTTGACAAGTTTGAAGTTGCAAGGTGGGGGTTTTGGTGCTCATTACGCCATTGTGAACGTTATTAATAATATGGGCTATACATCGTACATCTCCTTCCTTGACTCTATACGTCTACGGCTGTTGTGTTGTAACTTCCTAGTCTCTGGCTATTTTCTCATATTCTGCAAGCATAACAGTATTAGCTAAGGCGTTATCCCTGGTACAGGTAAAGACAGCTCCTGTAATACCTATATCGCCCATTACAATTACTAATTGTTAAGCTAGATATTCGCCGCTATAGATAGGCTCTTGAAGATGTACAATGTCAAGCATTTTAGATTTCTGTTGCCATTTATCGTTAATCTAGTGTACAGTAATGGTAGCGTAGTCTTATAATTCTGTGCAGACCATGCATCTGTCGTTATTGATATCTGGCCTCCTCTCTTAATATTAGAATGGAGCTTAAGTTGTAGCTAGCCTCAGTGATATGAGAACTGATGCTGTAGTTCTTAGTGTAGCGTACGAGCTGATATTGCTATAGTTGTTAGAGTTAAGAATTGAACTAATTCGCAGAATGAATAGCTTTAACAAGGTGTTTCAATAGATTATTCGACACAATGAACTATAGTAATAACTCCTTATACTTTGAAGGATTACCAGGTTGCTTTAGTAGAGCTGATGGGAATGGGTTCAGGAATGACGATGTGCTGCTTGATGCACTAGACGGCTGTCTATTCTCATTTTTAAGGGCGTATGATACTGTTAGATGCTTTAAGGATTAATGCCTCTATAGATTACCTGTTGATGATTGCTTTAGTCCTTGTGGCGGTAGTGAATATCCACATCCTAGTTGTATATCATTTTCATGGTTAGAGGCTGAGTATCAAGTAATTCCTAACGATATAAGCCCTTTGTGAAGAGCTTCGATCACCTAAATAGGCAATATCTAGTTTCTTCTCATACTAAGAAGTAAGAACCAAGAATCAGAAGCCTATGCCAATGGCAGACTCACCATAGCAGCTTAGATGGCATGGCGCATCACCTTTGCCATTAGCAGCAGCAAGATGTATGAACGAAGGGTATTCACCCTTTCTGCATTGCCTCTAGGCAATGCAGAGTGTCTGTTCCGCTTTACAAAACAGGAGCTCTTAGAGCTCCTCCCCCTCCTCCATTTTGATGAGGCGCATTAGAGGACTGCCCTTACGCCGATGCTAGAGACAGCTTTGTCCCTTGTCTATGTGAGACTAGCATATCCGTCTTGCTAGATTAGCCTCTGTAACATCTTTAGATGCTTAGAGGCTTGGCTAAGCACTGTACTTAATGATGTAATGTTCTTCTTAGCTATGCAGTTTAGGCCGCTCCTTAAGTGGCACCACTAGTTGACATATAGTCGGCTAATGGAGCTCTTAGTAGGGGTTGAGATGTCATACTGACATTCGTTGCACTCAGTTTGCTATCAAACTCAAGAGCAAACTTAGAAATCTCCTCCTCAAACCTACAAGTCACCATACATATCTTGGCTTATCACACCAACAACAGAAGCAATACTACTCAACGATTGCTGCAAACTCTTCTACTACATCTGTTTATGCTACATACATCACGGCATATCATTTGGACACTCATTGAACAAGTTATTAAGAAAATCTCCTCCTTAAGGGGGTGGGCCAATACTACCACATGGCATATCTCTACCAACTAGAGGCCTAGGAACATGAACGATAGCTCTAGAAGCTTCTACAACCCTCTATGATTCATTACACGTCATCGCTCCTTAGTTACCCACAAGATTGGTTAAGTTATGACATAATTTGTCTATAGGTACTCTGACCTTGGACCTCCTTTTCACTTCCTATAGGCTAGGAACCCAAGAGATGGTTCTATGGGATTCTCTTACGTTCACTACATGATTAGCAAGCTAGTTGTGGGTCGCACTTGATTTCTAATACATTTACCAAGCCTGGTTAGTCATGGAAAGTCATGGAAAATGAGAGAACTACACTCCTTTGGCATAAATAGGATTGCCCTTTCCTTAAGAAAGGGCAAGCAGACAATACAGTAAATCGACTATCACATACTTCCACGTCTTTTACAAGCTTCCAAGCATTCATCTTGTTACTCCTTGTTTCTGAAAAGTCAGTGAGGTGTTAACCTCTGACTTACCCCTGAGTTCCCAGACTCAACATTTGTTGCAACTTGTCTGAACCACTTCACTACATCACACACCTGATTGCTGCGTTGTGGAATAGTCTAAGCTACAACCCTTTGGCTCTGTTTCCTAAGACAGTGTGTTGTCTTAGTAAAATCATCCCTTCCTTGGGTGGCTAGATTCTCATATCTGGTGCACCCACCATTACATGAGAGCGTGTGTGGCATAGGAGGGGTCTAGGGCTTGGATGGTACCTTCTAAGGCCATTGCTGCCTAGAAGTAATGTGGCATAGAGAGCTGTATACTCTAGCCATAAACGTCAACACGGTATCAATTAGCAAGCCATCTACACACCAGATGGCATGATCAGCTCCTTAGTTAGCCCCTTCACAGGCCCTGTGAATGACTAGGCTATGTGGCGCCAGTCTGGCTACAACATAGCAATCCTCCAAGTAAGTACCCTCTTATGCTCATAACTATACTAACTATCTATAGGTAATGGAGGGCTGTGAGACTCTTTATGTCTTTAGTAACCTAGCATACACAGCTGCCTTTAGAACTGCTTGCCTTTTTGAGCATCTGCTTAGGCGATTTGCGCTGTAGGAGGATGAGCGGTAATGGAATGCTTCTTTGTCCTCCGTTTGAATCGAAGTTAAGAGCATTTGGACATGTCCTAACAACATGGACATATACAGCATTTAGGAAGGGACTACTGTAACGCTGACTTCTAAACGATAGAAGACACAGAGGTTTCTTGCGTAAGGTTGACTTGACAGAGGAGGCAGGGGATTAAACACAAAGGCTTTCCAAGTAACACGTTACAGATTGTAAAGAAAACTATATTGAGTGAGCACGAAGCTCCTATCTAAGGAAATACTATCTACTTATATAGTGGCGTCCTGCCAAAGGGATATCAAGGATATTTTGGATAACAAATATCCATGATATCCTCTGCTATCCATCATGTGGGGTTGTGGCTGTAAGCACTAGCCTTGTGACTCATAGGTGTAGGATATTGAAGATATCATGATATCCAATGTTATCCATCACCTGATATTCTGTGGATCCCCGTGGATAACATGGATAACATAATATCCAAGATATCCATCCAATGTTATCCATCACATGACATTCCGTGGATTGCCGTGGATAAAATGGATAACATAATATCCATGATATCCAATGTTATGCATCACGTGAGGTTGCAGCCGTAAGCGCTAGCCATAGCACTAGCACTTAGCCGTAACAGAAAGCCTTTGTGTTTAATCCCCTGCCTCCTCTCTGAAGTCAACCTTACGCAAGAAACCTCTGTGTCTTCTATCGTTTAGAACTCAGCGTTACACTTGACTATATAAAACTTGAATGCTCGAGAATTTACAAGCACTAGGAGTACCACGGGTTTGAAACCTTGCAGGTTCCAGAAGCACAGCAACAGGCTCTAGTCCAGCCCTGTCCACTGCACTGTCCATACAGGGTAGCGCACTGATTAATAAATTAGCATGGACCACTATAAGAATCTTAGGAATTAACTCACGTTGCCATTGGTAGGTGGGGCGCTCGAAGTAGGCGGGTTGATAGATGTAGTGCCAGAGCCACTATAAGCATGTTGGAATGAGAACTCGGTGCTTGGCACCGGCACCACCGGCACCACCGGCATCACCGAGACCGCTCCCCCTACATCGGTGCGAGGATATCAAAGACCCTGTATCATATTAGTAATAGCCCTATATTTTAGGTTTAGTGGTTAGCATCAATAAAATCTCTTTACACCCGAAAGCACAGTCTATTATTCGAACAAAGCAAGCATGAAAGCTTATAGTGGCAGGCAGGTACCATCCCATGACAAAAAGATGAGTGCCGTCCATTTAGGCTGCAGGCATTATCCATAGCTGCGATGAAAAGGCTCGTGGACCGTCCCGGATGAATGCTTCGATTGTTCGGCATTTGTCGCGGGGTAGTTCATGGAACGTTGCGGGTGGAAGGTTCAAGGTTGTATGTACCGCCGGACCAATTTGACTTGGAGCCTATATGTGATATCGCCAAAACTTACTTCGTGTGGGGTTTTAAGTATGAGCAATTTTAGAGAGCAGGGAGGTGGATATGCACAATGCCTCTTTGCAAATATCTGATATTTCAAGGCTAAGAGCAGTTGCTTTTTATAGAGTATAGCGGCATACATAAAGATATGTAGGCGCTACGGGCATGAGCAGCGTTACGTTACTTGGCTTGCTCCATCTTACAGCGAATATCAAATATCACACATTCACACTCAACAAATACGCCATCTGAGGTGGCCGAAGTCTCCCATTAACTAGACCCTGACAGAGGGGTCAAGCTCGACGCATCCGCTAGGGACGCATCCCGCACTCATCATCAAGACCAGCACAGCCCTCCCAAAGCAGCCCATGCATCCCAACAGTAACGCAAGAAAAGCGGCACGAAGAGGTCGTGCCAGCCTAGTGGTGGATCGTCAACCCGCCCCCTCGCAAACCGTCCGCCGACGCCTCAAGCGCAGAAGCAACCCGGCCTAGGGCGGGTGTAAAGCAAACGCAAAATCCTTTCCGTGTCCAACAGAGCAAAGTGGGTATTACGAAATGAGGAGAAATCAACGATTATGGTGACATTTTTTTTCGGGGATGGTTTTCGTTTTTTTCATCATGATAAGGCGGCCAAACCTCGCGGGGGAAGTGGAGTTTGCTTGTGCTTGGGAAAGACGCAAAAATCTCCGATTTGGTACCCAGTCTGATGGAGATGCGAAGAGCAAAAAAAATATCGTTGTGTCGGTCCTCGTGATGCAATTTCGACCGCGAAAGCTGTGCATCTACCGCCGCGTACTCTGCATACCGCGATTATTAGATGGTCTTGGGGGACCGGGAGTTCCTGGGGCAGAAGTCAGTATCAGGCTTCCTGTGCTTGTCAGTGAGTCGAGTAATAGAAAATTGGGGGCGTACCCGATATCCACAATATCATCCACGTGATTGCAGAGCGCGACGAATAGATCAAAGAAAAGTTTTCCACCACTCTCCATTTCTGTCTGCATTGTGCCGCTCCTCTTAAATGTCTTGCGACATCGGATAATCAGGGCAAGGTAATGGGCGCGGAGACGCGAGTCCGTGTCCGGCGTGTTGTCATAGGCGTACCGAGCGCTACGCAGGATGGTTCCAACCTCGATTCCGCTCTGCAGACCCTGCTTGCGAAGGGCAAGGCGCTTGAGCTCCTCGAGGCCGTACTTGTCCGCGAGGCAGTAGATGACGGTGTCTCGGAGGAGATACTCTCCCACGCTGGTGACAAAGGTTGTGGCCTCGGCGTTTCCGCGACCACCTCCGTTTTCGGGCTTGGGTAAGCTCACTGCATCCTCGAGCTCCCAAGTGCTTCGACGCTTGTTTTGCAACGCGCGTGGGTAGTAGTCGCCCTTCTAAATGAGTTGTTAGTAAGTGACATCGTAACAGGGCCCACGATGGTATAGCGTACGTAAAGATACTCGAGAATACATGAGAAGATCTCAGGCTCCTCGTCGGGAAGTTCAATCCTCTTACTCTGCGCAGCAACGAACTTCCCCCGACAAACCGCCGCAAAGAACGGCGATAGGCAGAGGACGTCCTCATGCGCCGCAAACAGTCGTCCTTCCTTTCCAACCATCAAGGTGATGACCGGAGAGATGAGGGGACTACATAACGAAACGTCAGCCTTGCGCCCCGCATTTATGGCACTGGGTATACTCACGCCGCCCCAAGTAAAGGGTTATCCTCCTCGAACGACCTCTGCAACTTCGACGACTTCGATGCATCCTTCAAGTTCTTCTTCAGCCGCGAAACCTTTTCGACGCGGTCGCGCGAGCGGTGCGAACGTTTGAACATGATGTCAGGCTGTGGAATGGCTTTCGGGATGGTGTGGGGTATTGTAAGGAGTGACGAAATGAGCGTGAGGGGATGGCTTGACGTGACGCACAAAAAGATTGACTGGGCCCAGGAAGAGATCTCTAGCTATTCGTAATGAACGTCCGGAGATTCTTGTTTCTTTGCGACCCTAAAGGTGTGGTGACGAGGAAAGAAGAGACAGGCGCCCGCGACTCGATATATATGTTGGAACATGGGTGGATGGGTGAGGCTTAGCGTTCACGTGATAGTCCGGCCAGCCCAATTGAGCATAGGGGAACATAGTGGAATGTCTTGGCTATAATTCAAAGGGGTAATACTTGGGCGCCTCATTTTTGGATTTTTTGTCGTGGTGCGTTGCAATTCGTTGGCGCTGACAATTTGCATGCGATGATCCGACGTCCCGCGGTTGGTGCCTGGATAACAAATATCGGTCCTACCAGCGGCACGCTTTCACAAATTCCCACGCAAGTCCGAGAACTCGACCCCACGAAAACTTGTTTGGTGTACTCGGGTCCAGGATATCCTTCCAAGGTATCCTATATAAGGCCAATATGATACTGACGGCGGAGCAAATCGCGTCCCATACAGTTTATCGCCTCCCTCAGGCTTCGGTTTTGGTCCGCGATGACTCTGTTATTTGTCCGTGCAGCGTTTGGTACTCGTCGAATGCCCACTCGGAGTATATCCAGCCTGATGCGTAAAGTTGCACTCACTCTACCACCTTGATCCTGATATCCAACTTCTTCCTGTACCCATCTTGCATCCTCTTCTTCTTCCGCCAGCCCTGCGTCTTAGGCTCCTTCACTCTCTCGCCAGCCCAAAGCTCTCTCTCCCGAGCCTGTTCACACTCGCACAGAGGCTTTGGGCGTCTGTGTCCCATAGCGTCGGCCAGCTGCTCTTCGTGACACAGCTTCAAACAGTCGTCGCAGCATCTCACATTGCCCAAGTCGCAAGCCGGGCAAACTACAAGCACTAAATGGCACCCAGGCGATACACACTTACTCAGACGGTTCGAGGGCGCACCACAGCTATGACAATTCGACACTGGCTCGGTTCCAGCTAATCCCGTCGAGCCCCGGGCGTCAAAGACATAGTTCCGGCCCTTGAACAGTGAGTCTTCGGCCTTTTTATTGCCTGCAGAAATCTCGGCTTCCATCCAGGTGAGGTACGCCGCAATGCCGCCTTTCAGTGTGTAAATCTCTCCCAGGTCGCGTAGCTCATCTTTGGACATGTACTCTTCCATCCATCTGACGCCCTTTTCGCACCTGATTCCGCCAGTGCAGTACGTCAACACTTGCGGCGGTTTACCCTTCTCAAGGCCCGCTAGCCCCTCGTCGTTCCCCATAATCTTATCCCCGTGCTCCTTCACCCACTGTGGCCACTGGCTGAACCGCCGAATGGGCGGCTTCACTGCCTCCCCGGTCGTCGGAGACACGAAATAGCCAATCCTGGATTCGTAGTAGTTCCTCACATCAACTAGCTTGACATTCTCATCCAGACACTTCTGGTGGAATCCGGCTGGCTCAAGTGCCTGCACTGCTTCCCATGTTGATGGCGAATAGTTGGTTACTCCCAGTGGCGTGATCTCCGCCGTAACCCTGACATTTAAGATCCCCTCAAAGACACAGCGGCACCCGGGAGTCGGTTTGAAGAACTCATCTCTTGTTCTTTGGGCCTTCTCCCGCAATGCTGTGCTGGCGGAGGTGTCGTAGCCCAGCCCTAACCCCGAAAAGCTCCAGTGCGAACAGCAGGCTGTGATGTACCTCTGGATATCCTCTTCACTACCTGCGACAGTAATGTTAAAACCTTCTTTCGAGACTCGTATCTTGCCGCTTAGGCTACAAAGTCCCCCTTGTTCGCGGTGGAACTCTGCAAGCTTTTCAGGATCAATAGTTTCTGGTAGGTACTGTTCTGGAAGCATGTGCGAATTGGCCCAGTAAAGGTAGAACAAAAGGACAAACCCCGGCTCCCCACAGGTGCATGTGTATGATATCGCATCCGACTTCCCCGGTGGTGCATTGAGTTCCCTCATATCGAGACTTGTAGAAACCAAAATAAAATGTAATTCACATAGAGATATATTGAAGGGGAAGAAAGTGAGAAACTAGAAAAATGAGGGCCGACGGGGAATCTTCGGGGGTTTCTTGAAGCGGCCTGTCCACCAGGCTGAGGTGGCACGCGGATAAAGTATCCTTCCGTGATTTCTGTCCACATCTCCAAGCTCCAAGAACACAGTGTCAGCCTTGCGATGCCCAGACCAGCAAAGCGACAGCCAGAAGACGAACAAGTCACTCAATTCTGACGGTAGCCTCTTGAGAGGCTATACTCGATTCAGGGGATTACTTTAACAGTCATATACGTCCAAATCAACGCGTCTTGAGCCACGCGACTTTTCCATAGCCGTCCGCGCCAATACCGAAACATCATACCCAACGCGCCAACATGTTTTCCGCGCTACAAAACCCGCGGCAGGCCATGTCGCAGGTTCTAAACTTTGGCCTCATCCTCTCAACCGCCTTCATGATGTGGAAGGGACTCTCTGTGATTGCCGACTCGCCGTCGCCGATCGTTGTTGTACTCTCTGGGTCGATGGAGCCGGCATTCCAACGTGGGGACTTGCTCTTTCTCTGGAACAGGAACTTCTTTCAGGAGACGAAGGTTGGCGAGATCGTGGTTTATAATGTCAGGGGAAAGGATATCCCGATCGTGCATCGTGTTGTGAGGAAGTTTGGGGAGGGGTGAGCATATATCTACGCGACACTGGCGATGTCGGAGACATAAACTGACCGTTCTATAGGGAGGGCGCAAAGCTGTTAACGAAGGGCGACAACAACATTGCCGATGACACGGAGCTATATGCGCGGGATCAGGACTTCTTGGAAAGGAAAGACATTATTGGGAGCGTCGTGGGCTATATTCCGTTTGTTGGATACGTGACGATCATGCTGAGCGAGCATCCGTGGCTGAAGACGGCGATGCTGGGGATCATGGGGCTGGTGGTCGTATTACAACGAGAATAGATGGGCGTCTTAATTTGGTGATTTGGTGATTTGCTGCAGGGAGGTGTCACGTAGGCCCAGAGAGTGTCAGGTCATATTGTGAACAGTTTCAAAATGGGTATTCCAGTGGGTTTTCATGGATAATGGAGCGCGTAATAGGTGTGTACAATCAATTAATAGCGACTTTTATGAAGACCTAAATCCATCTTGCTGCGCGACATACACCAGGCTCACTTGGTTCTGGCAGCCATCAACACGAAGCTTGTATACGGTCAGGCAGCTTTTGAAACGCGAAGTATTTAGCGGGCGGAAGGCTAAAGTCGACAGGGGGGCCCGGTGGGTAGCGCGATGTGGGGGTCGATGACATAACAAAAACGCCTCACAGAACACCACCCCCCCTCTGAAGAAGATCATACAAAGACATTTTTAGAATAACTACACTCTCTTTACCTGTAATAAATAGCGAGCAGTTCCCTCTTGTCTACTTCAACGTTTGCAATATTTCTACAACTACAGGATCTTCCAATTTAAACCGCACATTACATCAGCGTCGTCATGGCAGGCGCAGGTGGAAAGAGAATCGCAAAGGTATGCAACAGCTATTGCACCCCACCACTTACCTTTCGTCGCTGATCACCGTGCTATACAGGAGCTCAATGAGGCCACAAACCCTCCCCTCCCAGGAATCCAAGTCAACCTCGGCGAGGACTCCGATATCCACCAGTGGCATATCATAATCGAAGGACCCCCAGAATCTCCCTATGCCGTACGTCCCCCCCTCTCACCTAACCACGCACTGTCAAGGAGCCAACCACCACATCCAGGGCGGTTTATTTAAGCTCCTCCTCGTGCTCCCGACCGAATACCCCTTCAAGCCTCCGAAGATAAACTTCAAGACGAAGATCTTCCACCCGAACGTCTCGAACGATGAGCACGGCTCGATGTGCCTCGGCATGCTGAAGGGAGACCAGTGGAAGCCGTCGACTAAGATCGTGGGCGTGCTGGAGGCGGCGCTGCAGCTGCTGTCGGAGCCGGTGCCGGATGATGCTGTCGAGACGGGGATAGCGGAGTTGTATAGGAATAATCGCAAGGAGTTCGATAAGCAGGCCAAGGAGTGGACGAAGAGGTATGCAAATTAGCGTGTGGGCTTGTTATGGGGTGTAGAGGTTCTGTGGGGGGTTGGATGAGCTGAACAACAGGGTTCGATGGATCACATAGCTGCTTTGGACTGTATTATGGGTGGGGGATGAAGCGATCTGTGCAATTCAACGCATAGAAATCACAGCAGCTGTTTGTGCGAGAAGAGTCGCCGCAGCATTTTAGAGTCATTATCTACGCCCCTTTAATATTCAGCTACGTCTTAGTGATATCAGGGTTCTAAAGGCCCATGCCATCGTTGTTGGCGGCGTCCAGGTCAACACACTAGGATACCGGCTGGATGTTCAGAGGATGTAAATGGATCTTATTTGGTAATCCTCTGCAAATAAACGTAAATTAAACTACTAATTTAACTATAAATTCTTCCTTAAAGTCTTCCTCTTCTTCTTCCTTTATAAAACTCCAACTCTTTAAATAGGCGATAACTTTAAAAACCTCTTTAGAAAGCCTATTCCTAGTTTTTGAAATAATAAAACTCCCTATACTAAAAGAACTCTCTATAGGAGCACTAGTAGCAGGAATTTGTAAATATCTTCTAGCTATTATAGCCAGGGTTAGCACAAATAATCATAATAATCATGACTAACGTATTTCCCAATCGAACCGTGCACCCGGTAGAACCGTGCAAAATAACCACCAAAACGCGTCTTCCTTCCATACAACTAATATGTCTCCAACACAAGCTTATTCTTCTAATCAAGAAGGTAGGATTCTTTTAGCTATACAAGCAATTAAATTATATCAATTTTCGAAGCGTACGAGCTGCTGCAATAGGATACGATATACCTCCTCAAACCCTTCGTGATAGGATAAAAGGAACAGCTCCCCGATGCAACACACCCTCAAATACTCAAAGGCTTACTTCTCAAGAAGAGGAAGCTATCATACGATACATTCTCAACCTTGATTCGCGTGGATTCCCACCTCAGCCAGCTGCTGTACAAGAAATGGCGGACCTACTCCTCGCTGAACGCGAGGCGTGTCCTGTTAGGTAAGAATTGGACCTCAAACTTTATCACGCGTCGTACGGAGATTAAAACGAAGTTTGGACGAAAATACGACTATAAAAGAGCTCTTTGTGAAGATCCAGTGATTATCAGAGACTGGTTTAAGCTCGTACGAAACACGGTCGCAAAGTACGGAATTCAAGAGGAGGATATATACAACTTTGATGAAGCTGGGTTCTTAATGGGAATGATTGCTACTGCTAAAGTAGTCACTAGCTCAGAGTCAAGGAATCGTCCGAAAGCTACACAGCCAGGAAATCGAGAATGGGTGTCAATTATACAAGGAATCAACTCGTACGGGTGGTCAATTCCTCCATTCATTATTTTCAAAGGAGCAACCCACCTCTCGTCATGGTATAACGACGACGAGGTACAACTCCCACACGATTGGGTGATTACATTAAGTGAAAACGGGTGGACTACAAATGCAATTGGTTTTGAGTGGATTCAGCATTTTGAGAAACATACTCAGAGTCGTACGAAAGGAGTATATCGTCTCCTAATTCTTGATGACCACAAGTCACATATTTCAGTCGAATTCCAACAGTATTGTCAAGAGCACCTAATTATTACCCTCTGTATGCCACCACATTCATCCTCCAGCCTCTTGATGTTGGGTGTTTTAGCCCACTAAAGTCCTCATACGGAAAGCAGGTTGAGGGTCTCGTACGACTCCGTATTCACCATATCACAAAGCTTGAGTTCCTCTCTGCCTTTAAAGAAGCGTATAAAGCTGCATTTACAGAGCAGAATATTAAGAGTGGCTTTCGAGCAACAGGTAATTATAATAATCTTTATAGTAAATACTACTAACTTAGTTATAGGGTTAGTTCCGTACGATCCAAATACTGTCCTTTCGCACCTTGATCTCCGACTAAAAACACCAACCCCACCACCTGTTGAAAAGGAGACTTGGACCTCAAAGACACCCCAGAATGCGACTGAAGTTGAATTCCAAACAACACACCTTAAGAATCGAATCGTACGACATCAGGACGTGAGCAAGACGCAGAACGACTCCGCGAGGAAGCAGAACGACTCCGCGGGGAAGAGCAACGACTCCGCGAAGAAGACCGACAGCGCTACGAACGGAGGACCGGAAAGACGACGCTGCCCGAGTTCCTCGATGCATGCCATACTCACCTTTGCCTGGGTCTGACAATTCAACCAGATACCACACAGTCGACGCAAGGCGATGCTGCAAACGCGGATAACAAACCCCGCCCTGAACAAATTCTGCCATGGCCAGAATTTGATGCGGAACAGGCACGCACGTGGGAAGATTTGATGGAGTCAGAATTCGTCCTTGAACGACATTTTACCTCTTTGCATACTCTAGAAGAATCGGGAGATACCATTCGCGGGCGGCAGATGGGGTCCGAGCTGGATCTTAATAGCTTTGCTCGATTCACCGTGGAGGATCCGGTATCCCAGATCATCAAACGGTTATCTGAAGACAGCGTATTGCGCGATCGCTTTGGTCTCAAAGGCTCAGTCAAGTTTGAAAACCACAGCAACACACTCAGTCCTGATCGAACAACAGAGCAAATGCAATCTCTTAGCATCTCTGATAACCCGCGACGATCGGAACGACTTCGAGCACATGCAAACAAACCGGGACGGGCTGACTCTTCTAAGTCATCGAAATCTACAACGAAATCTTCCCGTCCTCGCGCAGATCAGTTCTGCGTTTATAATGTCGGTGGCGAGGGCGAGACTGAGCATCGGGTAACCGCGCTGACGATCGAATACAAAGCTCCTCATAAGTTGACATTGGGGCATATTTATGAAGGTCTTGTCGAGATGAACGTGGACGAGGTTGTGGAGGTAGATGATAACGAAAGCGTGGCAGTTCGCTGTCGTCGTTTGGTGGCTGCTGTGATCACGCAAGGCTTTTCATATATGGTGAAGGCTGGGGTGGAATATGGCGAGATCTACACTGGTGAAGCAACGATATTCTTGCGCATTCCTGACGATCCCTCGACCGTGTACTACTCTCTATCTGTTCCAAAAGGAGATGTCGGGGCGTCCACTGGTTGGGACGAGCGTGGAAACGAGCCCAATCGATTGCATATGACCGCGGTTGGTCAGGCTGTAGCGTTTACTCTTCGCGCGCTTAAAACGCCTCCACGCAGTGCACAATGGATAATGAAAGCTCTGCGTCAGCTCAAGACATGGAATGTCGTCGTTAAGGAGGTTGAGGATGCCGTTGCCGATGACGAAGTTCCGTCTTCGGAGTATCGCCCTTCACCGAGGGCCACGCAGGATATTACACGGTCACCAATCCAATTCCGACCTCGCAAGAAAAACCAATTTGTGGGCACTTGTGCTTCAGTGATGTCTTCTTTCAGCAGCGACGATGACAACCATGACCCCGACACACCGAGTCGTCCTCAACCGCCTTTAAATACCAAAAACCCTCATACTTCCCCGAACCCACTATCTCAGACTATTGAACGAGATCGGAAAAAGGGGGCTTCCAGCGAGACTCATCGCCAAAAGAACTTAGGTCGATTTTGTACGCCAAACTGCCTGATGGGTATGGTAGATGGGGGAGAACTCGATTGGCGGTGTCCGAATGTCACGGAACATGGAAAACTTCGTCATCAACTCAACCGTAATACATTTATGCGACGTATCCGCGAGTTGTTGCGCAATCAGCTTGACTATTGTGTGGAAATGAACATTCATGGAGCTCGAGGAGCTTTTTTCAAGGTCAAGTTACCTGGATTTGGGTACACCGTTGCCGCGAAAGGCACCGGGATTGAGTGTGTTCAAGATCTGATGCACGAATCGACAATTTACCGTCGTCTCCTTCCTGTTCAGGGGAAGTGTGTACCTGTGCACCTAGGAGATACGAAAGTGGACAGCATATTATACTACGCAGGAGCCGTTCGTATTGTCTATATGATGTTTCTAAGCTTTGGAGGATTCCAATTACGATCGCCAATCTCACAAACTCTCGCTGACGATGCCATCTGCGGTCTGCATGCCATACATCAGTTGGGAGTATTGCAGGGTGATTCGGAAGCCCGTAACATTCTCGTCCACCCGGATCGACTAGGAATTACCTGGATTGACTTTGAACGAGCTGAGTTTATACGTCCACGAGCGGTATTAGGAAGTCTATCTCCAAATCGGAAACGGAAAGGCAGCTGGTCCAACGAGGAAGGGAAGTGTCAGTATGGAAAAGACAGCAAGAAGACACCTGCATCGGAGATACGTCAAGCTAAGACGGAGCTGGCGAGATTGGTGGTGAAGCAGGGAGTAGTCACTTCTACAGATGTTGACCTCACTCGGCCCGGAACGAGTATGAGGAGCGAAAGAAGTCTGATAGCAGGATGAACTCGCTCCGGAAGTCGTCACTGATGAGCCTCGTCGTCGACATTTCCGTGCGAGACAGTGCTAACTTCGTGGAGTGGACAACGGTGGGAGCTTTGATATACGCTTCGATGGTTGTTGGTGTTGAACGAGGGTTACTGATCGAATCCACTTAGCGCCTCAAAACTCAGGCCAAGTGTCTGGCTCCGTATGTCACCAGCTTGCTTGGGTCCTTCGGGTCAATATCACGTGACAAAACGCTCATCTAGTAGCACGTGGCCGCAAGTTGCACATGGATACTCTTCCAAACTGAAATGCAGCAACTAGCACAGTGCAACAGACACTGCAACACACACCTGAGAGGCATACAAGATTGTTAGAGCATTCGCGTTTCAGCGGATAGTTCGAAGCTGGCGTCTTCTTGAGAGGAGGTAGCTAAATAGCAAAGTTACAAGGGTTACGGGCGCAATGGTAATGTCTTGATAATTTACGTAGCACAAGGGAATTCACAGAAGATAAAATCCATACAATTAGCAAATAATTCTATTCGTCATCAGATTCAGAGTCTCTGTTCTTAAACTCGTTGCAATAGCGCACTTGAAGCGAACCGATGCTCCTGTCCGGGAAAGCACGGATAAAGACCCGATGTATCTCTTTCCACGGCAAGTCCTTCTTCTTGAGGCGCATCAGCAAATTGTCTTCTTCCTCCGTATATTGGAGGCGCCCGCGCTTTCTCTGCTTCTGCAGAGCTGGCCGTGACCTCTTTGCATGAGATGCGCAAACCCGTGAATGAGCTGATTTTCCAGCTAATTCCCCGCTAGACGTAGAATTTGATATGTGGAGACCGATTGATGGTCTGAACGAATCTGGAAGGTCTAGCAGCCTGAACTCTAGGTTGTAAGTCGTCTCTCGTCCGATCCTCACACACTTGAGAAATCCCTGGAGAGGATATTCTTGGTAGTCCGCGCCTAGAGTTGAGTCCGCATCTTCTGGTGAACTCCGAAAAACTGTAGAACCTCGAGTAGTGCAGGT